GAAAATTAAGGTATATTTGTGATAATTTATCTATATTATTAAATATAATATATGAATTTATTTAATATAATATAATATATTATAGAATATAAAATATACTATATTTTATACATGTAATAGATATGGGAAAAGTTTATATATAGCCGAGGCTCTAAACAATCAATTTGAGCCTTCCTCAAAACATTTACTAGAAGAGGTTGTTTTGATGCTCAAATAACTTTAAATTGATCATCTCGACATCAAGATGCATAGACATGAGAAAAAAATGGATTTTAAGTTTTGGAAATAGTGTATTTTGTAATGCATTTTTGGACCGTTAATTTTCAAGATTTTCAAGTTTTCATAGATTTGTTTGCACTATTTTTGAAGCTTTAAACTTTATAAATAAATATGAAAAAATATTTTAAGGCTATCACAAACTTTATTGAAACCATATTTCTCGATACTATTTGAAGGTAGGCTCTAATTTGATTGTTTAGAGCCTAGGCTCTATACAAACCATACCCAATAGATATTTACAATACAATGTATCTTATATATTGTTTTATGTCTAATATAAAATAATATTTAATATATAATATTTTAATAATATTTAAATAAGGGTATCGTTTCTATAAGGTTGCAACCTCAAACAATCCAATTAAAATGCACCTCCAAATTTTATCATAGAATTTTGTTATAATAAATTCTTAGGATTATTTTAAAATCTATTTTCATGCCTAATTAGAAAATTTTAAACTCAAAAAATGGTTAAAATCAAATAGATTTATAAACATATGAAAATATTGAAAATGAACGGTCTAGATAATGTGTTGAAAATGAACGGTCTAGATAATGTGTTGTAAGATGCATTATTTCGAGGACTCAAAAACTATATATATTTTTAATATTCATACATCTTGATATCGAGGTTTTTCAATATTGAAACAACATTTCTGATAGAGCTTTTGAGGTGCATGTCTAACTCTCCATTTTAAACTAGCAACCTAATGTAAACTTTTTCCTTTAAATAAACATTACTTCAAATTTAAATAGGCAAGCATATACGCTCCGAACTTCTTTTAATAACTTATTTCTTCAAACAGGCGCGTATTGTCTGTGGTCGCATCTGCTCAAATTAAAAGCACTCGGCACTTTTTGTTTTGCCGCGTATACTCTGCTCGAGCGAACAGAAGCGGGCAGGGTTTTGTAGATTTTAGAGAGATAGGGTTTATGAGAAGGATTGTAGAGAGAGAGAGATAGTTATTTGGTTTCTTTTCTGGTGATAGAGCGATAAATTATTTGATATTTTGCAGTGAGAGAGTCTTTTTCCCTGAGAGAAGAGCAAGTTTGGCTCAATCCCTGAAAGTTTTGAAGTTGGTTATGGAATATATGGATATTGGAGCCGATAACTCTCGAGCTATTTGTTTCCCCTTTGAAGCCGTTGAATCTGGAGGTATTTGTTGCCCCTTTTGATCGATGGATTAATCGGGCTTTTTCATTTCTTTTCTTCTTTCAATTTGTATTTGAAAATTTTCAGAGTTAATTTTCTTTTTTAATACTAATTCATGAACTTGAATTTAAGCTTTGTATTTTTAGTTTTTGCTTTGGTTTACTGTTCATTGTGTTTGAGATGCAATAAGTAGTTTTAATGAACTGGGTTTTTGTTTAATATTTTGATGAATAATTATTTATGTGATTTTAGTTTATTTATTTAAGTATTTGGGTTAAGTTTCTGATACAATTCATGTGTAACTCAGAATTTTTTATCCGATTGTTATTCTCTATCCGATTGTTATTCTCTAACAGGTGAATTTCTTTGCTCTATCAGCTTGTTTGATCTCTCATTGTTCATGATTATTAGAACACTATGAATAGATAATGTGAAGTTTTTTGTTGATTAAAATATTATAGTCTAATCTAAAAAATGAGTGCATTGTAAATTTGCGAGGCTTTTACTGAATGTAAATTCATCACGATGAGCAAAAAGTGAAAAATTTGAATAAGCTGTAGTTTTGATATCCATGATGTGTTCCTTCTTTATGGTTCACGCTATTGAAACTTCCCTCACATTTTTTTATTGGAAATGATGCTGGGTTAGACAATGAGAGTATTTGCTTTGAGAATATGTTATAGTTTTGGGCCCCTGAAATATTTTCATCAATTGATGTGGTTGTCTCTGAAATATATGAATTTTGGAGCTTGGAAATATTTTATGCACTAAATCATCCAAAACAATAACTTAAGATCATTCTTAGTTGTAGATTCTTTCATACTGATTTTCTGTTTGTTGATTGATCCATACCTAAACTTTGAAGGATTTCTGCTAATTTATTTGTCTGTAAGTAAAATCTATAGTGAACCTCTTGGGATATTTTTGTACTGAATTAGCTGCTTTATCTTTTGTACCTTCTATTAAGAGGTGTTATCCTCTACTTAAAATTCCCTTTCGTATAAATGCGCTATGGGTTTTGATATCACAAATTTGTACGTGGTGTTTCCAGAATTTCCGTATTATTCGATGGATGCTTTGTCACTTATGATGCACATTCGGCACGAAGAAAAGGTTCTTGGCATGAAAAGGAGGTAAATGGATTATTTTCTTCTTCTTCTTCTTCTTCTCGTTCTTCTTTTGTGACAAGGAATGTTTGTTTGCATGAGCAATTGTATGCCTCAACCAGTATCTAAGTTGCATGGACAGCAAGTATAGAATGAGCTGTTGTTTCTTCTTTGGATAATTATTTAGTTTGATATCCATCATTTCCTTTCGTATTTTTCTTTCCATTTGAGTACAACTACAAGCTCATTCAGAATTTAATTCCTTCACTTTTATGGTGGTTAGTTATTTTTATCTTTTTTTTTTTTGGGTAAATCGGTGGTGGAGAAGGCCCCCTACTTGTTTTTCATTAATAAAGATAAAGAAATAGAACCGATAATTTTACAACCCTGTGATAGGGCATATTTGCCAAATCATGAAGAAAAGGATGGAGATAAAATCGTAGTGTGCCAAACCATAGCTTCAGATAAAGACACAGCCTTTTTGGCTAGTGAATCCGCCACCATGTTGGCCTCGCGATAGATAGGGGAAATGAACCACACACGATTCGAAAGACTATGTCTGCAATTGACTGCTACCATATGGAGTGCCCCCCCATGCGGCATTACATTGGCTTTGAATTACATTGACAAGTAGAGAAGAGTCACTTTTAATTTGCAATGGGAAGCAATCCCACTGAATGGCCAGATTAATCCCCTCTATGAGAGTGTAATATTCCACATAGTTGTTGGATACAATACAAAAAGCAGTGGCGAAAGCAGCAATAAAGGTACCATCATCTCCTCTGATTAATCTGGCACCCCCTGCTGATCCTGGATTTTGTAAAGAGGCCCCATCAATATTCAACTTAAAATGATGTGGACAAGGGAAATACCATGCGATTAGAATAAGTGATTTGGGTTGTTGTTGGCGCCATGTGATCTGTAGATTTTCAATAATAGCTTTTTTTGATATATGGAACACCCATGCTTTGGCATCTGCTAGCTCACGAACATGTGAGGTGATCCTCCTTAGCAATTGCTCTCTCCTTGATGCCTTCCTTTGAAAAATTCTGTGGTTACGCTCCTCCCATAAGAACCAAACTGTAGTGAAAAAAAAAGAATTCCAGACACCAAGGAGACCATCTGATTTGAATCTAAAAGCAATCCAATTTTTAAGCATGGTTGCAATAGATGGGCCTGGGGTAAAACGTTTACCACATCTCCATGCAACTGATCTCCAAATACCCTGCGAGTAAGCAAATTGAAATAAAAGATGGCATATGTTATCATTGTGATTCACGCAAAAAGGACATATGGAGTTAAGGGTGAACCCATGTTCTAAAGAAGGAAGAAAAATAGTAGGAAGTCGTTGGTGAATAGCCAGCCAAGAGAACCACTTAGCTTTAGGATGACATTTCGAGGACCATAATGCTTTGAATATAGGCTGAGAACATCCCTTTTGTCGCATAAAATCCCACGCTTCTTTAACCGAGAAAATACCATTTGAAAAGTGAACCCACACCAGGAAATCTCTCTGTGGCTGCAACGGGATAGTGAAAGCCTCCAACTCTTTCTAAATTTCAATCAAATTCTCTGATGTAGGAGATGGAAGATCCCAAGTCTGCGAAGGGCCTTGTATTTAATCTGAGACCTTAGTTTTAGTAAAGACACTAGGATCTTCATGAACATTTGCATCATAAGACTCCCATATAAATCTCTTGGATAGCCATATGTACGCCAAAAAATCCACAGATCGTCCATCCCCAATAATCCATCTAACATTGATCCTCAGGTAAGATAACCCTTACTGGATACCCTTCCAAGCATAAGATCAACTCCATTTTTTGGTCTCCCTTATAGAAGAATTTTTGAAATACATGTGCTTGAAAAAGCATGTTAGCAGAGATGATGGATTCGCTAGAACCCTCAATGCCAATTTCATCATATCGGCAATATTAAAATCAACAATATCACGAACTCCAAGACCTCCCTCCGCTAGAGTCAAACATGCAGTTTTCCAGTTAATAAGGTGATGACCCTTCTTTTCAGTTGTGCCTGCCCATAAGAAATTCCTTTGTGGTCTTTCAACTGTATTACATGTACGTTTGGGTAAAATAAAAGTTAGAATCCAGAAGATAGCCGATGAGCAAAGTACCGACTTTAATAGTTGTAATTTGCTTGAATAAGATAGAGTTAAGGCCTGCCATGCTCTTATCTTGCCAATGATCTTTCCAACCAAGCTGTGATCATGCGAATGCTTTAAAGTACCATGAAATAGTGGAAGCCCCAGGTATCTAACTGGCAAGTTTCCTTCACCAAAACCAACCTCTTTCACAGTCATGTGTTTAGTACCCTAAGCTGTACCAAAGAAAAAAGCTTTGCTTTTGGCAATATTGAGTTTCTGGCGAGTGGTTTTTTCAAAACTCAAGAGGATAGATTTCAAAACACCTATAGCAAAAACAAAAGCTTCACTAAATATAACCACATCATCAGTATAAAAAAGGTGAGAAATCCCATAGTCACAACTTGAAGGGAAAGCCATGGGTAGCATACCTTGCAAAACTGCGTAATCCATTTGTCTACTGAGGAAATCCATGACTAATAAAAATAGATAAGGAGATAAAGGATTATCTTGCCTTAGGCTCTTTTCCCTCTGAAATAGTCTTTTGGTTATCCATTCTACAACACTAAAAAAGACGACGTGCAAATACATAGACGAACTGTTAGCTTTTTGCTAAAATTTGTGTTTCAAAACATCTTTTTTGGTTGCTATTTCATATGTCTTTTTGTGGTCATGTCGGACCACTACCCACTTTACACCTCTTTTACACTTCTGTTGTGCATTTAATTCCTTTAATGCACCCTATTTCATGTTGACATCACCCTCACCACAAGCCTCTCCTTTTGAGCCTCGTAACTTCCTACTTGGCCCCTCTCTGTTTCCAAATGCTTCTCTTTCTCTCTCTCCTCTTGCTACATCACATGCATGATATTAAAATATTCCTTTCCCCATATATAAGGGTTTTTGAGGAGAAAGAGTGTAGAGAGTGGTACGAGTTAAGGTGAGGCCTTAAGCTTGAAGAGGAAACAATGAGGTAAGAGGAAGAACTAAAGCGATAGGACTACCACATGGGTGAGGTACCAAGCTATTTTGGGTGTACTCTCTCTCTAGTGAGAGAAAGGATTGTCTTTAAAGCTCTGTTCTCTCATTTTTCAGGTAACATTTATTGATAAAATGTCTTTTAATTTCTGTGTGAGAAATTTTTAGGCTTTTTTTTCCCAATTGATGTGTGTGTTATACTGATTGGATGATGTTTTTGTTATGAGAGAAGTTCTGTTCCAATTGATGTTTGTTGTATCATACCAATTGGAAAGACGTATTGGATTTATATAATGTGGTTTTGTACAGGTCTTCTGAGTGTGCAACTCAGGGACTTAGGAATTAATTTTTTCGATCTGGCTATATCTTGGGAGTGTATTTGCTGGGACCCGTTTGCACCTCGGAATTTTATCGAGACGGAGGCGTTTAACACTTCGAAGACAACGAGAACATCTTGTGCCTCCACCGCGATGTTTGGTAAACTGCGGTGAGACCCCAAATAACTAACACTAACAACTCTAGAAAACCCAAGGCTTGCAATCTTGCAAGAATGAAATCCCAGGACACTTGATCATATGCACTACTTAGGTCGAGCTGTAAACACATTTTAGCCTTAGAAGAGTTCTTATGACATAATGATATGAGTTCATTTGCCATCAGGATATTATCTATGATAAGTCTTCCCTTTAAAAAGGCTGCTTGTCTAGGATCAATCAAAGCATCCAAAACCTTCCTCAGATGGTTAGAAATAATTTTGCTCATAAGCTTATACAAAACATTGCATAGACCAATTGGTCTAAAATCTTTCATAGCACTTTCACCTTAGGAATGTGACAAATGAAAGCAGAATTGATTTATTTGAGGATCTTACCTTTCTTGAAGAAATCGTTCAAAGCTACAAAAGAGATCCTTCTTAATCACCTCCAAACTGAACTTGTAGAATTCAATAGAGAAACCATCTGGTCCCGGGGCGCTTTCACCTTTCATATCCCAATTTTATCTCCTCCAAAATGCCTTCCTCAATTAGATGCATTTGCTGATTTGAGTTCAGCAAAATAGGGGGTAAAAGGCGATTTGTCAGGTGAGGGTCAACATCACTGTCCTATGCAAGAAGGTCCTCAAAAGAGTCATATGCTTCTCAATGTCTGTCTCATTAGCAAGAGTAGCCTCATTATGGTCTTTAAGGAACATAATTCTATCATTCATTCTTCTGATAACAGTTGAAAGATGAAAAAATTTTGTGTTAGAGTCCCCATCTTTTAACCAGACCTGGCACGATTTTTGTCTCCATATACTCTCCTCATGAGCCAATAACTGCTGCAATTGTTTGGTACATTCCTCCTTTTCCAACATAAGATTCTCATTGGAGGGGTCACGAGCCAAACTATAATGTAGAGTAGATAATTCTCGGTGGATTGTTGAAATAGTCTCTCCCGTATGCTCAAAAACTGTTTTATTCCACTTGCGTAAATCCATCCTCAACCTCTTCAGTTTTGTGAGAAATCTAAACATGGGTGTCCCCCTCTAGGCCTCTACCTTGCCAAAGAATCAGAAATAATGTCAAGAAAACCAGGAGCTTTCTGCCAAGTCGTGAAATATTTAAAAGGTTTTGGTCCAACAGAGGACAGGTTGGACATGGAAACCAAAAGCGGGTAATGGTCAGAGTTTTCCTTGATCAAAAGCTCTACTCTAGACTCCATGTAAGAAAGAACCCAATCCAAGCTCGCAAGAGCACGATCAAAGCTCTCCCTTATACATCGTCTATTAGCTTGACAGTTTGACTAGGAGAACCAATCTCTCGCAGATACAAGATCCGTAAGATCACAGTCGACATAACATGAGCAAAATTAGCTTAGTCCTGCGAGATGGAACTACTACGCCCCATCTTCTCAGAACAATCCAAAATGGTGTTAAAATCACCCATCACCAACCAAGGACCAACAGTAACAGCACACATATTTCTCATATGGTCCCAAAGTGAGGCCCTCTGAGACCTGGAGTTAAAAGCATACACACAGAAATTGTTAAAGAACATGCATTACATAGGTGAGTAGCCTGAACGGTAATCATTTGTTCATTCACATTAACAATGTTGACTTCGTATATATTCTTCTCCAAAAAAAATGGTTGACTGCATATATATTAGGATTCCAGACAGGCCTGATATGGGATTTTCCCTCAACCTCATTTGCAATAACATTGCTATAAAGCCCCTATTTTCTCTCCCGTCTATCCCTTAAATCAGATGGCAACTTTGTTTTTAACGAAAAAAGAATACCAATGTTGTGTTGATTCACCAATTCTCGAATATCTAAAACACGACCATGGCCACATAGACCACGTACATTCCATGAGATAATTGACATTATAAAGGTCAGTGACTGGATTGTTTACCTGCTGAACTGAGCTTACTACTGCTACCCGGCAATGCATCCTTGAGAGATCGACAGACCCTTCGTAGATGCCTCCGTGCTGAAATAAAGAGGATACTGCATTGGTTATAGATTTGCCCAAACAACCAGCATAAATATGTCCGACTAGAAGAGATCCATCAGCACTTGAATCACACTGTGGAACATCTGTAACTCCATCTGATAACTGTGTTTCCATGTTATTCAAAGCCTTGGCGAAGCGAGGATAGGAACAATATCATAACTGTTTGAAATTGAAACTTGTTCGTACTGCCCCTTTGTAGTTATTGCCTCACACATGAGACCCCCCTGTGGATCATATGGAATAAATGAGATTTTGTCGTTGTCCCCCATATCCACTCCCACCTCCTTCTAATTTCCAGCAGAAAGTTTCCCTTTGTTAAAAAATTTTCCGGATGCAGGAATGGTAGGAGTAAAACTTTCCTGTTTTGCCTTCATTGCATGAATAGAAGGTGATGGGCTCCCTTTGTGCGAAAGCCCATCCGATGCAGTTGAGGTTTCAATATTCTCCACAATACCCTCTTGCTTCTCATCGTTAGCCAATCCCAATGCTGCCATGTCAACGGTGGTCTCTTGCTGCTTACTTGCGGATGGTAATACACTAATAGAATCACCTTCGCCATTCTTCAAGTTTCTCTAAGGCCTTGAAACCATTAGAGTTTCTATCAACCTGTTTTTTTCAATAAATGAACTGCTGTCTGCTCTTGGCCACACGCCATCCCTCTTCACCAGTTGATAGTATAATAGCAGCCTCTTTAGGCTTCGATTGAGCCTTAGAGGATGTAGAAATCCTGCAAATATCAGAAGAGTGGGCCATCCTGTTACAAGATGAACAAGAGATTGGAATGAACTCACAAACAATCTTCTGTTGGAACCTTTTTCCTTTCATCTCAAAGGGAATCTCATTCAAACATGGTTTTTCTAGATCCAAAGCCATGAAAATCCGTGGCTGTGGTCTGGTTCTCATTTTGGTTGGCCTATCCATGAATAAAGGCTTCCCCACCGGCGATGACAGTTGAAATAGAATCTCTGGTTCCCAGAAAACCAATGGTAGATCAGGAAGTTTAATCCACACTGGAACATGCTGCCGTATCTTCCTCGAGGGTGTTGCAGTTGGATCCCATTCTTGCAAAACTAAACACTTCTTATTTACGAACCAAGGACCCCCGGTTCTGGTTACCTCCATTTCCTCTTTACTCTGAAATCGGAAAACCAGAAAACCATCATTTAAGGAAAATATCTCAAGATCGTTCGCCTATTTCGACATCTTTTTCAACATATCTTTCATGTAAAACCATTCTGGCTTTCTCCCTAAGAAATATCCAATGAGACAATGTTCCCATCTACTCAAACAAGAGTGCACAACATCATCTTCGATTGTCACATGACATTTGCCATCAATAGCAGTACCAGTAGGTGCCTCAACTTCATCAAAGTATAATACCCCAGATTGATACCTTTCTCGTCGAATAGAAGATCTGCAGCTTGCCCACTACCCCAGCAACTTGTGGCTTTAGTTTCCTTCAATGTACCGTTGGTGTTTAATGGTGCTGGACTTTTAACATCAACGACTCCAATTGGCTGCATAGAGCTCTGAATATATTTCACACCAGGAACCATATCATAAGAAACAATATTCAATGGACCATGAGCAGATCTATGGTCACCATCTTTATCATTAACAGTTGCATAATGAATCGCAGGCACTCCATGAATACCAGAAGTAACGTCAATACCATCTAATGAAGGAGATCCTTGTGTGGCCTTGACAATTGCATCAGTACAGACATGAACATTTACACTACGACTAGCATCTTTCCCATTTCCACCCTCCAAAATGGGACAGATTCATGAATAAAAGGTCTTTTAAGATCATCTTGATGACTAGATCTAGGATCTTGCACACCGCTATCATTAACAGCAGGTTTCCGAGATCCATTGCCATATACACCATAAGCAATATCATCAATAACGTCCTTAACATCATTCTCATCAAGCCCACAATCATCCAAAGTATTATTAACTATTGAACCAGATGTAAAATCTTTCACAGGATCGCCACCATTAACAGGCAAATCAACGTCTAATAAAGAACTTGGGTCAAGGTGCTTCCTCACCATGGAAGAATACTCATCACCAATATCTTCAAGATTTGTCTCCAACCTCAACAATAAGGAATGTACATCAGGATGTTCGCCATTGCAACATCATCTCTAACAACACTATACCATTAACATTCAAGAAAGAACCAAGATCAGGCTGCACCTTCCCGGACAAGTCTGCCATGGGAGAACATCTTTCATCTTTGAATTTGCGAACTTTGGGTTGGGCTTACAGAGACGCAAAGATCTTCGTATTTGCATGCTCTCATGGCTCCTTCTCTCAGCCTCCTAGGTTTTTCTCTCTCTAGATCGAGAGATCCACAAGTTCTATAACTAGGTTTTCTTTAGGTTATTTAGGCTTTGCTCAAGTTAGTTATGTTTATCTTTTTCTCTGAAAGTATTCCTTGTTGTTTTTGTGATGTGCTTTTTCGTTTAGGATAGTAAGTTCATTTAATATTCTGTAAATCATATAAATTTCAAAAAAAAAAAAATTGTTTAGTTAATGTTAACTAAAAAGATTTTTTATCAAAATATCCCTTTTTTGTATGGAATATATTGAGGTCTAATTCTTCCCCTTTATATGGCAATCTTTGCGTAATCTTTTTGTAATCTTTTGATTTGGTTTTGCAATTATTTTCAGCTTTATTCAGTTTGCACTTGGGCACTGCACTTGCAATCATAGATGATTTAAGCCTGCGTGATTGGGGTAATTTTTGTAAATATTGAATAGCTCTTATCTTTCTATGTATGAGGGAAATGGTATGTATACCATTGATTATTGTAGAAACAAATGGCTTGCAATGTGTTGACTACTCAAGCCACTCAAGCAAATTGTATTATTGGTGTACATATGCATAAGCTAAATATCAAGAGTTTGCTCTGCTAGAATGAAGCTGAATTACCTCTTTATTGGGATATCTTGTTGGCTTAGCTATATCGCAACAAGCTTTGGCCCTTAATAGTGATGCGATTTTCTTGAAAAGCCAGTGGTGGCTTGTGTTTGCAGCCCATGCTGCACACCCGATGGCTTCACGAGTTTATTGTTTTTGTCCATTTATTTCAATATTTAATCATCTGCTTTTGTTTCTAGTATTTCTTGTAATATACATTCAGTTAGCTTGTGCATTCGTGGATTGTCATCAACTTTTCAGGAAAAAAAAAAAAGCTGTTAAGAAAGTGGCATGAAAAAGCATGAAAATAACAATAGATTGAGTTAACATCTTTCGAAAGACCACTTAGAGTTTTATGGCTCACCCCTTTTGAGAAATTTAAGCTCCTTGATACACGTTCATAGCTATTTGGGGGTTTTGATATGTTGCACAAGAGCAAGCTCAGGTCAACGGATCAGCTAATCAAAGTCACTGAATATTCTTAATGTTGGATAAGATTGCCTTCTCATAGCCTACTAACAATTATGTTCTATTTATCTGTTTGCAATATTCAATGTACTTACAAATGTATGATATGCAGGTGGTTAATGGGATTGCCTACAGGCTCCATCTCTTCTCGGATAGGTTTAAAGCGGCGTAAAGTTCCCGATTTTTTGGACAATAAGTATGCCTATGCTCTTATCTTTTAACTCTACTATCCTTCTATGACTTAGTTTGCACAGAAGCATGTTCTCATGTTGGGTGTATAATATTCTGTGTCTTATAAGTTTTTTTTATCCTTAATAGAAGCAAATGCATGAAAATGTTAAACCTTTTTAATTTTTATTGGTCAGTTTGAGTTATGGTCTTATGGAAACTTTTATAATTTATTAATTAACCTCAAATGATGATTTTCCGTAAGGTCAATTGCCTCTTCATCAACTTTGTCTTTTATTTTTTATCCTGGTATTATATGTATTCTAGTCATTTGATATTTGATAAACATTATGGGGGACACTTCTATGGATATGTAAAAAATTAACAATTTGGATACTTGTCAAGTTGATGGTTATTAGTTCCTCAAGATTGATTCCTGTTCCATGACTGCATAACGTGAGTGTTCCAGCATTTCCTCTTGCTATCTTGTTCAAGCTTCTTTCTTAGTCTTTTTTATCATAATATCTTGAATCTTGAAGAAAATAGTAAATCCCAATGATTTATTCACTCTCCAGTGTCTATAAAAGCATCAAGTGGCACCCAGGTGACCGGGGGATACCGGGCACCTATTTGCAGACTGTAGTTCGAGACTGCCTAGGTTAGAAAATTTCAAACAAAACTACAAAGATTGCAAATCTATTGCTTTTGTTTTCAAAACATAAAATTAGTTTGCCTATACAAGCATCCCTTAAAGCATAATTGCTTGTTTTGTGCTTAGAAGAGTGTGTGTGTTTGTTTTTGTGTGTTTGTGAGGCAGACTTTGTTACTCTTTTTCCTTTTTTTCTTTTTTCTGTTTTTGTCTTTTGGGGGTGTTTTTGGGGTTGTGCGGTGCAGTAGGGGGCTCTGCCCTTGATCTGAGGGCTTTTTCCGCCCTCAGGTTAGCAGTGTAGGCAGGCCAGGTTGCATCAACAAGAGAGACTGCATAATGGTATTTGAGAAATGAGCCTGTGTACTGTGCTCCCGTGAGAGCATCTACTATACACTTACTCCCTCGGGCTGACGACCTACTTGGGAGGAGTTTTTCACTTGAAATCTTGGGAATCAACTAAGAATCTCTAGATGTTTATTTTCAAAAGAAAAAGAATTTGGGTTTTGAGTTCTCCAACATTTAGATCTCACCCTCCAAAAATTGGACGGTCTCTATTCAATTTTAGGGCATTATTTTTTTCAAGCCCATAGTGAGTCATCATCATCATCATTGGAGCCTTTTCCCATAGCGAGTGAGATTTGGAAATCTTTTCGCATCCCCAAAATCTGGAAAGATACTCCTAGATTGGGTTTTACCTGAGCAAGTAAATGGATAGTATGCTCCAACAGGAGCATAAAATCTTTTGGTTTGAGAAACTGAGTTTTCACAATCTCAGAACTGCTACTCAGACAGTTCCCTGTTGGCATTGCCGTGAATAGTAATTCCAAAAGTTTAACAAAAAGGGGCTAGTTTGGCCACCCGTGTTTTCAATAATCCACCGATTGTTTGCATATGGACTGCTCAAAACGTAGTTGTTTTTACTAAGTGTGTTTTGAACTTGTCACCAACTGTTTTTAGTGGATTGTTAAAAACATGTGTGGATTACCAAAAACATAGAAAGAGAAACTAATCCCCTAAAATATGTGTTTTCTCAGTTGATATGCTGTTATGATCTCTGATTCACCTCCCTGAGATGCTGCTGGAGTTTGATTTGTCGCTTTGCCGGCCAGTAACTACATAGCATTTTGGAAGTTTATTGGAATGTCGTGATTTTCTTCATCCACCTCCCTTCAACTACTGATGGAAATTGGAAATCTTGAGACTTCCTTTTGCATCTAAGAAAAAATAAAAATAGGGTAGCGCATGCCTTTCCAAAGCTCCATTACTGCTTCCTGAGATTAGCAGCCATACTATATTTAGCAATACATATATTCTTTTCATATACATCTTTATAGGTCTCTCATATGCAATAAAGTCCCTCTTGCAAGGGCAGTTCATTTCCTTAGTCCACCTTACTGATATTAACTCCTTTTTGTTGGAATGTAATCGTAAATTAGGTTTGTTGTCAGTGTCAGTGATATGCATTGCGTTTCTTAATACATATAGTTGGCATTACACATTCTTGAGACCTCTATGGCTCTGACTGTAGGGCACTAACTTTTATAATTCTTCATTTATGTTGGTACAATTGGTCAATCATATTTGCTTGGAGTGAAGTGTTATGGGTGGTCACTAATGAATTGCTTAAATTCTGAGTCTTTTAGGTCACAGCCAGAATCCTTTTTGAGGGATGACGATGTGAGTATGCTTATCCTCTTCCTCAAGCAAATTGGGTAATTTATCAGACAATTGTTTTTCAATCTTATGCCATGCATTCATCAACCCCTGTAGCAAGTTTTCATAGTTATAAAACATTTTCAACGATGATATACGGACTATTACAATGATGTGTTTATTTCGTAGAATATTCATAGACAATTGTTCTAATTTGTTACATTGCAGATAAAATTATTCTAATTTATCCATACTATCAATTGTTAATGAGTAATGCGCCCCAATCAATCAATTATGTGTAATGAATGGCCAGAGGACCCTCTCCTCACTGGTTTACTCAAAAAATGCATAATCAATCAAATATACTAAATTGGATATTATAGGATCACTGTGGTTCTGTTGTGGCCCAGTGTCCATGGATAGGGCAGTCATGACCCCAATGGAGATCGGTTTTCTAAAATCTATCGAGACCCTACTGCATTTTCCCTCCCTTTGATGCTTTTATGTATCAATTTAGCATGCACTATTATCTTTTTGACGCTGGCAGACCAATCTAATCCAGCTGTTCGTGACATGGAGCTGAAAACTGCATCTTTAAATGCACGCTTTGGTTTCACATTGTCCAGTTTTTGCTTACCCTGTTGTGTTGTTTAGTCCTTCCTGGATACAGTTAGGGCTTCTGTCCAGAAAAGCTTTGAAGCTTTTAATGCTCAAGGGAAGCATCTTTTTGTAGACCATTGGAAACTCTTCAACGTCGACGTGGAGGGGCCTTCATCTGCCCAAATCTCTATGATTGCAAAGGCCTTCCCTTCCATTCTCGATGATTTAAACAATAGAGGCCTACTTCGCTTAGGAAATATCATCAGGGGAGACTCTCTTAAGCATGAGAAAACCCGCCCCAGAATTATCAGCATTATCAACAGATATCTTCTATCAACAATTAGAAACCCTGAGTCTCTGAGCCAGATAAGGAATTTGCTCAAAGACCCAGATAATTTTCAAGAGAAATGCATAGAGGTTGGGAACCGGCCCTTTCGTTCGTGCATCTTGGCAGCTGAACAAATTCTTGAAGAACTTGATGGCTTCCCTTCCCAAACGCTAGAGGCAATGCGAAGAAAACTCAAGGGACTCCCGAGTGCACTCACTGTTGACTGCAAGCGCCTGAACGGCAAAAGTAAGGGTCCTCTGATTAATAGAATACAGAAAGCATGTAAAGACATCCTTTCAGAAATCCATGAAGGGGAGGAGCTTCCTGATAAGTTGCGTAAAGCCTTTGTTATTGCAGGCTTGTCAGCCAAACAAACTCGAGGGTATGACTACGGCCTTGTCACTTCTTTGGGAAAGTTTCCCCGTGATATAGAGGCTCTGCATAATGATATAATTAGGGCTATTTCGACAGTCCAGATTGTCCCAATAGAATTGCTAAAGGATGTGTACCCTTTGCTTTGCCCAAATGCCAAATGTTCAAGTCATTCAATCCGGGCAAGTGTGAAGAATTTGTTGATCGAGCATCTTTTCGAATGTACCGAAATGAGCTACTCAGAGTCACTGGTGAGAGTTCTCTCTCTCATCAATAAGAACGCTTCAGTTGAGCCAACAAAGGAAGAAATGGAAGAGGAGGTGGAGTGTGTATTGACACTGAGTAGTCATCTCAGGCAGATTGTTTGGGATTGGTCGGACTATCCCAAGATTGATGAAGAGTTTGCTGATGCATATATGGATGAGGAGGATAATTATGAGGAGGAAGAGGAAGAGGAATCTGTATTTGGTGATAATTATTCCTTGGAGTATAGATACACCGGCTCCCCATTTAGGGAATCAGCTTTTGAAGAGAATGGTTACCTTCACATTCAAGATGCATGTGATGAAGCAAGTCTACTTGCTTATCAGTTAGTTGGTCGTTTACTTGAGGGACTTGCAGATAGTAACGGTGTTGAGTTGGATGCAAGTACAAGGTCATATTTTAGAGGCGGAACATCTGTTCCTCCTGCTAAATCTTCAGGTAATTTTGTTTCTTGATGATTTTGTGTGTGTGTGATAGAGAGAGAGAGAGAGATGAATATTTTGCACTTGTATTCAACCTTTGACTATGCATATTGTTTACCACATGTTTAGCTGTGCGATGGAGTTTCTCAAATGTTGATGTGGGGGCATCAAAACTGATTAAAATTGTCAAAGAACTAATCCCTTCTTTTCCAGAGAGGTATTGAGTTCCTGATCTTTACACTTGGTTTTTAGTTTAAGCGTCTTTAGGATCCTTAGACCTTTTGTTCGGAGCTCCTATTGAACCTTCTGTATCCTATGGGTAAATTTATCTCTTTTTTGCTTTCACAGTGCACTGCAGAGAGTGAAGGAGTCAATTGGAAAACTCCAATAACATACTTCAGCTGAATATGTTTCTTTTGTTGCATGAATAGATGTAAGCCAATCTAACCCTGAGTTGTGTGTGTGTGTGTGTGTGAGAGAGAGAGAGAGAGAGAGATGCTGACACATGTTCATGAAGAATATAGATGTCTTTCCATAATTTACGTCATTTCTGGATGCTGCCCCCCAACCATGGTTTGCAGGCATTTTGACAATGACTTTATTTGTAAAAAGTGATTTGTGACGTGTTTGGATGCCCATGTCACATGAAATTTGACTTGTAAATCCAAAGCCAAGCTGCAAATTAGGTAAACAAGAGGTCCTATCCCTGTCTTTTTCTCATCTTCAGAAGTCACTCATTGTTGTGAAACATACCTAAACGTTTTCCTGCATTCTCCCCCTCTCTCGGATTCTGCACCTATGGTGACCCATGAAACCGAGAGAGAGCAAAAACCCCTATCAGTCTCTCTCTACAGCTCTGCATGGGGATCCATGAGAGAGAGATGAACAATGTGAGCAACCGGATTTCTTGCTCCTTCCATCTCTCCTTACCTAATTTTATGGGCATTCGAAGCAGATCCTGAGTATCGTGGTTGATGATACATTGAGATTACAAAAGAGAAAATCCAATATATTTGGTGTTTTTTCTATTGCTGCTTCAATCAATTTTCTATAACTATAATGGGATCTTCGTTTCTAAAGAAGTAGAACTGGTTTGTCGCATTTATCCTTGAAGAGAGCAATTTAGGTTTTGCTTTTAATCTTGAAGAATGAAGTACCTTTCCTTTTTTTTTTATTATCTTTCATTGAACGTTATTAGTGATCATGTTTAGAACAATATCACAGATGAGTAAAAGGCGAGTTTCTTTTTGTCAGAAAAGAGAGTTTCTTCGGGTCTTCGTCTTCCTATTTGTCAGTGTGTTGAAGATTGTTGTCTTGATATTCAAAAAAAAAAAAAAAAGGAGGATTGTTTACTGAAATTTTAAGGAATTCTAGTATATTTTATTCCCCTTTTCTATGTTTCACTCCTTCGTGCTTAGATTTTTTTTAATAATAAAATATGATGGGTATAGGTCTTGCAGATATATGACTTTCTTCTTTCTACCTTTGAATAGACTGTCTTTTTTTGTAATTTATTATTTCTTCATGTTATATAATAGTTTCATCATCATCATAGTTTTTTTTCAATTAATTAGAGTCGGCTACATGAATCCTGGTTTGCTATTTTGCTTTATTTAAAGTCATACCCTCAGTGCGCCCATAAGTCTCGTAAGTCCATTTTTCACCACAATCGGGTGGCACTGCGACGCCTTGCTTCTGGGAACGTTCTAGCTAACTCTTGCACATTTCTCACTGTACCCGAGGTCTGATATAGCGCTTCACTTCTAGGGAACATCCTAGCCACCCCTTGCTCATTTCTCACTGTACTTGGGTTCCGGTACAACATGTTGCTATGGGGGAATGCCCTAGCATAAGCAAATACTATAGTTTCAAAATTTAGAATGAGTTTTGACAAAATTTTACATTGGCTGCCTACCTAATTCAATCCAGTCTTTTTACCTGGGTATGAGATGGGTTAAGAGAAAGTTTAAGGTCATCACCCTTCTTAGACCATGTTATATGATAGCTTGTTGGAGTTAAATAATGACTACGGACTAATAACTACTTTGCACTTAATCTTTGAGGATATTGATGGAAGTGGTGAAATTATTATCCAAAGTTATTGTAGAGATTAATGTTGTAATCTTTCATGTGCAATTTTGTATCTTGTTTGTTGTTGTTGCTATTATTCATCCTGTTTGTTTTTTTTTGGGGTGTGGTTTGCATAAGGTTGCAACCTTGAACAATCCAATTAAGACGCACCCCTAAATTTTATCATAAATGTAATTCTGATATAAAACATTCTTAAATTGGCTTGAGAATCTACTTTCATCTTTAATTATAAAATTTTAAACTCTAAAAATGGTTCAAATCAAGTAGATCTCTATAAAGATATGAAAATGTTGAAAATGGACGGTCTAGGTAACTGCTGCAAGATGCATTATTTTGTACACTCGAAATTTTTTTTTTCCTTTTTATATTCATACGTATTAGAGGGTCTTCCAACCTCCAAGATTTATGAGGTGCACCTTTGATTCTACATTTTTAAGGTTTGTATCAGTATTGTAAACCATGGTCCTCATCAAATTTTCTTTACTCGTTAAAGCGATTGATAATTTGATTAATGGCAAAGCTTTAATGATCTTATGCTTTCATAAAAAAGAAAGCACGCACGAGGTTAATGATCTAATGCATAGAGTGCATGCACCAGGTTGGGCCATTGATCTCCATTAGATCGCCATTGTATGGACAATTGCCGAGGGGTGGAAGTGTTGGAGAAAAATAGGAGGGTTTTAAGGGACTGTACATGATCTCCATGAGATCGCCATTGCATGGACAATTGCCGAGGGGTGAAACTGTTGGAGAAAAAGAGGAGGGTTTTAAGGGACTGTACATCTTTTATCTTTAGTAGAAGGAGGTTACAATTAATTCTAGCCATTAGATGTCCAATTGAATGGCTTGGGATACGTTATAAAGTTCAAAAAAAAATTTGTTGGGCTTTGAGTTTATTCATAAGTAAACTTACAACCATTTAATTTGAAATTTCATGGATAAGAATGGTTAAAAGTAAATGGTATTTTTGTATAGAGAGAAGTACAAAAAGGTAAAAAAAAAAAATGTATACGAAATAATGGTTTACTTTTAGTACAAGGAGGTTATAAGTCTTGTCCTTCAGATTTTAAATCGGCTGTTTGTGACTAAACTCAAAGTCTAAACAAAAAAAAAATTGAACTTTTTTTGGCCTATCTTATGCCATCAAATTTGGTAGCTAACAATTATGAGGGATTGTGACCTCTTTATAATAATGATAAATGGTCCTACAGTATAAAATCGCATACCATGAAAACCATTCACGGGCTTGCCTAGGAAATCGGTTTTAAGATTTTAGGCTCATTAGATTGGACGGTCCAAAACACAAATTGCTCCCTGTCGTCATCTTTCTAAAATAATGGTGCAGTTTGCATACGGATGCATCCGTAGGGTTAGAGATAAGGTGCACTTTCAAATTTTATCATGGTATGTAATTTTGATGTAGAATGTTTTTAGGATTATCTCAAAATCTTTTCTTATATTTAATTATAAAATTTTAAATTTAAAAAATGGTTAAAATCAAGTCGTCTTGAAAATGGACGGTGTAGATAATATGTTGTAAAATGTACTATTTTTTAGACTTGAAATTTTTTTATTTTTCATAATCATACATATCGATGTCGAGATGATCAATCAAAAGGTTTTTCAATATTAAAACTATCTTTTCCGGACTTTTGAGAGGCATCGTAGTTCTACATTATAAGGTAGCATCCTTATATAAACTTTTTCCCTAAAATAAATACCATCATACCCCTGAAAATATTCATGTAGAAGTTGCTTGTAAATGTGATCGTTTTAGAGCCAACTTGACATCTTAGAAAACTTTCTCTATTCTTTAAAATATATATATATATATATATATATATATATATATATATATAAT